GTAGCTTGGAGGCCAAAGCAATTAGGTTGGAGGCCATCGCCAGTAGGTCGAAGTTGCAACTCAGTTCTCCTCCATGTTTAGCCAGTTTGCCTCTTTGTGTGGCCACGCGGTCATGCCAGACCATGCCAAGCGAGCCAGAATTTGTGCCTTATATAGACAGGGCGCTGGCAGTTGCGTTTTTGGTCTATCACCTCGACCTGCCTTTCCAAAGCAGGATCAGGTTGCGCAAATTGTTCAGGTGGCATTTCAAAAGAATTTTTCGAACTTGTGCTTACAACTGGTGGCCTCCCATCGATCTGTCATCGCAGACTGAGTCCTGCCCGTTTCAATGGCAGCCACCTGTTGGTTCATGGAACAAGCTCCAAAAGAAACTCAAGGAGGGTTCAAAGATAGCCCGTCAGATGAGAACCGCCCTTGGTGCTACTTGATTGTCGTCGTCTTGGATCTCCTCCCTGTCTTCTTCTTCACGCTTTCTTCTCACTTTCAGGCCGTCTTCAGACTCTGACACTCAGCCCCTCTCCCGCCACCTGTGCCAGGGAGGGGCCTTTATGCAAGGAAAAGCCATCGCCAGTAGGTCGGAGGCCAAAGCAATTAGGTTGGAGGCCATCGCTAGTAGGTTGGAGGCCATCGCTATTCGATGTGAGGCCATCACTACTTGAATTAGAGGCCAAAGCAATTAGGTTGGAGGCCATCGCTATTCGATTGGGGGCCAGCGCTAGCAGGTTGGAGGCCATCGCTACTGGGTTGAAGGCCAAAGCAATTAGGTTGAAGGCCATGCTACTGGGTTGAAGGCCAAAGCAATTAGGTTGAAGGCCATCGCTGCTGGGTTAAAGCCCAAAGCAATTAGGTTGGAGGCCATCGCTACTGGGTTAGGCCAAAGCAATTAGGTTGAAGGCAAATGGTACTGGGTTGAAGGCCAAAGCAATTAGGTTGGAGCGCCATCGCTAGTAAGGTTGGAGGCCAAAGCAATTAGGTTGGAGGCCATCGCTAGTAGTAGGTTGTAGGCCGGGGCAGGTTGGAGGCCAAAGCAATTAGGTTGGACGCCATCGCTAGTAGGTTGGAGGCCAAAGCAATTAGGTTGGAGGCCATCGCCAGTAGGTTGGAGGCCAAAGCAATTAGGTTGGTAGTAGGTTGGAGGCCAAAGCAAACAGGCTGGGGGCCATCGCTAGTAGGTTGGAGGCCAAAGCAACTAGCCTTCGTCTTTGACCAAGCCATGACGGCTTGAACCGCTACGGTGCGTTGAAACTTTGCGGTGCTCGCGTTGCATTGCTTGTCGGATCAAGGTGATCCTTACATTGTGTTGCTACAGGTTGCATACATTGTTGGCTCTTGAGGTTGCCACTACAGGTTCCAGGACTAGCCACTTTCTACTTGAGGCTACCCTGCTACCGACACTGGTAGCGGAGCTTCGGTCTTCGGACTGAAGCTCTGTTGCCAGGGTCGGTGGCCAACGAGGAGGAGGACGCGCTTGCAGAGCAACGTTGAATTCTTCTTGAGTTGCCCACTTGACTGGCCCCACCGGAGATCGAACATCGATCATTGGCCTTTCAGGTGAAGGTACATTGGCCCTGACCATACACTCCTTTTCCTTGCCTTTGACCTGACGGACTGTTGAACTTGTTGTGCATTGAGTGATAGCTACAATGGTGGAGAGAAAAGAGCAAGTTGCCACGTGGAACGGTGACCCTACCACCTGGCTCGAGTATGTGAAGAGAGTCCGTTTGCAGTTTGAGCGGACTGAGAAGAAGAAGAAGAAGAAGCAGAAGAAGAGAAGCTTGTTGGGTGCTGAGCTGGCATCGAGGTTGACTGGTCGTGCATGGGACATTGTTAGCGCTGAGGTGGATCACTCGCAGTTACAGAAGCGTGATGGTGCTGCCTATCTCCTTCGGTTTTTGGAGGAGCGGTTGTGCAAGGCCCCTGTTCCAGACACTGGTCAACGACTTGAAGACTTCTTCCTCCGCTTTCGGAGGAGCCCTGGAGAATGGGCCACACAGGTCCGAGAGAGCTACAGAAGGCTTCAACGAGCCATGGCAAGGCAGAGGAAAGACCTGGCCGACCGAGATGGTCACGGGAGGGAGCGCACCACTTCGAATACTCTCTCCAATCCAGGTCGTCGCAAATCAGACCTCACTTCGCCAAAGGCACCAACACCTTCGAGTGGAAGCGCGAACCCCGGATTTCCGGCCACTGACGAGGAGGATGATCCAGTGATTGAGTGGGAGCAGTTTGACCTTGGCTCCGAGCGCATCTTACCGGATGAGATCCTTGGTTGGATCCTTTTGCGCAGGAGCGGACTTCCAGCAAATGCTCGCTTGTCAGTGTTGAGTGCAACCAACAATCGCTTGGACCTTGCTTCAATGGAGCGTGCAATGCGTGATCAGGAAGAAGAGTTGTTGGCCGCGGAATCTCATCGCAGTCGGGGTGAGATTCCTCGACCACGTCGTTCCTTTGGGTTGAAGAGGACTCCCAATGGGGTTTGTTGTCAGAGCTTGATCTAGAAGAGGTGGATGACACACAAGTGTTTTGGGTTGGAGACCGACTTCCCCCTGATGTTTACAATGTTGCTGGTGAGGACAGTGTTGCTTGGTCGACTTGGCTGCCTGACGGCCAAGAGTTGAGTTGGGAATGGCATGATGACGATTTTTACGCTGCCGATGCTGCAGGTGTTTTCTGGTCATGGTCGGAGACCAAAACCTGGCTGGACATGTGTGATGCACCAACATCTGACAGTGATCCGCTGCAAGAGGCCTACGCCTCGTCCCAAGATCGTTTTCGCACCTTCAAGGAGAGCCGTGCCCTCAATTCAGCCAAGCATTTGTCTCGTGGTTTTTATCCCCTCAACCAGATGAAAGGGAAGTTCATGCAATCCAAAGGAAAGAGTAAGGGTAAGGGTGGTAAGTCCAAATCACCCCCCCAAAGTTCTTTGGCAACAAGCGCCGCTGCCCTCTACACTGGAGGGTCAAAGGGAGCTCCTTCTGGTCAGAAGCCTGGCAGTCCGACCTACAAGGGATGCTTTGTTTGTGGGTCGCAGGACCATGACTTCAGGCGCTGCCCAAAGCGACAGAGTTCCTCTTCAGCTGCGCCTGCTAGGTCCCTCTACTCGGCCTCGGTCTACATGGTGACTTCGGCGGAAAGTGACGACGTAGCTGACCTGACATGTCCGAGCGGTGAAGTACTTGCCACTTTGGCTGCAGAGTTCCCCGGTCCTGCTGTGCTGGACTCCGGCGCGACAGAATCCATTGCCAGTTTAGAGGCAATGCGTGAGGTGATGGAGCTTCGAATGAGGGTTCATGGGCCTGAGCAGTTTGTCGTGCATGAACGGCAGAAGCGCTTTCGCTTCGGGAACGGAAGCGTTCAGAATGCAGTTTCTTTTGTGGAGTTGCCACAAACTGTGGCAGGCAAGTCAGTGAAGCTCGGAGTGCATGCCTTAGACGCTCCGGGAATTCCTTTGCTGCTGTCGGTCAAGACTTTGACCCTGTTGAAGGCCGTGATCGATTTTGACCAAGGCCAGATTTGTTTCAAAGAGGTGGATCCTTCTATTTGGATTCAACTGAAGCGAGCGTCCAATGGACACCTTTTGTTGGACCTCACAAAGGATTGGCTTCATGAAGAGCCTTCATCCAGTCTCACGGTGCACGACTTGCACGACCCAGAGTCCGCTTCGACGTACAAGGTCGCACCAGCTGCCTCCACTTCCACATGTGCACTTGAGTCCCCACATGTTTTGAGGCCACAACTTCATGAACCACCACCCCATGAGTTTTTCCATGATCGGCATGAGTGCAAGAGTCAAGCGGTTTTGCATGAAGATTGTCGCGAAGAGTCGCCCGCAGTACATGAACATGTTTTGAAGAGTTCAGTAACCACTTCGTTGGAGAAGAATGCTGGCATGGTTTCGAACTCTGCAAACCCAGGCTCAAGCATGCGGGCCGCACTGCTATTTGTGGTTGCTGCGACAAGTTCTTTGCCCTGGAATGGCTTCGAGCGGAAGCGAGCCCAAGGCCATGACTCCGGCCACCAAGGCGGCGCCCAAACCATCAGCTTCGAAGAAGAAGGGTGCTCGGGTCCCGACTCCCGAGAAGTACGATTGCAGCCGCCGCGAAGGTCCGGATGGGAGAGACAGCCGAGCTCAAGGATTTCCATGCTTTGGGAACCACACCCCCATGCCGGAGGGACGTGGGAGCCTCTCAGGCCGCAACGGCCATGGCAAGTGGACAGTGTGCACACTATGCCGCCTTCGCATCGAGTATGTCCCCGCCTACGGAGCGAAGGAATGTTTTCGTCAGCCCGGTCCGTTGGCGCCCGATGTCCAGACAGTCATGGAGATGGTGAAAGACGACATCAAGGACAAGCCAGAGACCCGGGAGAATCTGAACATGAAGATGGCCAGCACCCTTGGAGCAGAAGCCTCTCTGCGCAAGAAGTTGGAAGCCCTAGAGAACGACAAGACCAAGCTCCAAGCCAAAGCCCGTGCTCGACCGGAGGCCATCAAGCAGGAGGCGGATGTGGTGCTCAATGCCGCTGGTCGCAAAGTAGCGGCCAAGCGCGACAATACTCAGGAAGCAGAGGAGGCCGAGACGGAGAGCTGGGAGCAGGTGTCACCGGAGAAGCCATGAAGGACTACATCACTGAAGAGACCTTCGCGGACCCCGATGGCCAGAACTATGTTGGAAAGCTCACTTCATCTCAACATGAGAGTCTGCTGGAAGCTGCTGAACACTACATCGCTGAGGCCGAAGAGACCTTTGAAGCGCTCTTCAACACGACCCAACAGATTGACCTCATGGAAGTTTGCTGTCCACCAGATAGCCGCTTGTCTCAGACCTTCCTCGACAACAGTCGCAAGGCAATCCGTGTTGGTCTACCTGCGCATGACTTGTCGAGATCCAAGGACACCGATGAGGTCATCAAGATGATCCACCGACATAGACCAAAAGTGCTGTGGATTTCACTGCCTTGTGGTCCGTATTCTCCCATCCAGCACCTCTTCAATGAGACCACTCCGGAACAACAAGCCGCACTTCTCCTCAAGAAGAAAAGATCTCGAAAACTCATTCGAAATGCTCTTCCTTTGGTTCGAGCTCAACTAGAAGAAGGGGGACAGGTCTGCTGGGAGTGGCCCAGCAACAACGGTGGATGGAAGCTCCCTGAACTGAAAGTGCTGCACGACCTCATGAACCAGTTCAAGGAAGCTCATCATGCACACGTCCATGGCTGTGCCTATGGCGTCAAGAATGCCATGGGAGTCCATTTGAAGAAGCCCTGGAAGGTTTTGTGCACCTCCTACTATGGCATCGGCTTTGACTCGCCGTTGTCCAGGAGACCATGAACATGCAGAATGTCTTGGAGGCTAAGACGCCCGAAACTCCGGCTTCTACCCGGAAGCCATGTGTCGGACCATCTTTCGAACGGTCCAAACTATGAACCATCATCTCGGAGAAGGAGCCTTTTTGGATAATTTCCCGGTTTTTGAAGACACTCTCATGGAGGAGAACAAGAAGAAGGCTGTGGAAAGCCCTCTGAGTGACCATGAGAAGAAGGCGGCCATGAACACTTTGGCAAAGCTTCATCGTCGGACTGGACATCCGTCGAACAATGCTTTGTCCAACTGTTTAACTGTTTGAAACACCGTGGTGCTCACCATGAGGTGATCGAAATGGCCAAACGATATCAGTGCCCTGAGTGTCAAGAACTACGTCTTGCAGAGCTCAACCCTTCTGGAGCCCTCCAGCGTTCCGAAACACTCTGGGAAACCCTTGTTTTGGACAACGCCGAGCTGCCCATCGACAACCAGGTAGTGCATTGCATGGTCATGATGGACGAAGCTTCTCGTTTGGTTTGCCCACATTTCCTTTTTCAGCATGAGAAAACGGAGAGCCGCAACTGCACTGGGTTTGAGGCTATGAGAGCAATTGAAGAGACCTGGGTTCGACACTATGGCAACCCAGCTTCCATTCGTTTGGATCCTGAAGGAGCCTTTAAGTCCACCGACCTCATGGAGTGGGCTGCAGAGAGAGGCATAGAAGTTCTTCCCTGCGCTGCAGAGGCGCATCAGCAGATTGGTGGAACGCATGATCCAGACCATCAAGAACACGACAAAAGAACTTGTCCAGTCAGGAGAATTTGACGCCTGGTCGGCAATCATCCATGCCTGCAGAAGCCACAACGAAGGGGAACGAATTGAAGGATACGCCCCGTTCCAATGGGCATTCGGACGGATGCCAACTTTGAGCGGAAGTTTCCACAACAAGTCTCATGACCTACCCTTCTGGACATCTTCAGGCATTCCTGGCAGCTCAATGGCTGTCAATTTGAAGCAAAGAGTGAAAGCCCAGAATGTCTTCATGAGACACCAGGCCTTCGACCAGATCACTCGGGCTGCAAATGCTAAGACTCGAAGACATCAAGTGTTTTTGCCAGGAGACCTTGTGTTCTTCAAGCGCATCAAGCCTCCGGCTCAACCCCAAGCTGCAGCTCGCCGCACAAGCTATGGAGATGGTACGGACCTGCCAGAGTCCTTGCCAGTGAGACGAGGACAGATGCCCAAGGAGCTGAACGTCAGCCTTCCCACATTGTGCGGATTGTGTCTCATGGTCGACTCAAGCGATGTGCTCCTGAGCAGTTGAGGCATGAAGTTGCTGGCGGAGAACGCCGATGCTCCAACGACTTCCTGGACCTTCCATGGCCTCACAAAGACTCTCTACAAGGGCGAGTTTGAGATCCTGGACAAGAATGTCTTTCCAGAGGACCTTGAAGCTCGCGGCCCACCTCGAGAGCGAAGAGCAAGATCCCGGAGCCGCACGCCGGGGACACCAAGACCTCAAGCTGCTGCACCTTCGACGCCTGTGCCTGAGCGTCGAACACAGAGCCAGCCTCTCAAAGAAGCCCGGACGTCCAGAAGGTCAAGAACACCTACGCGCGAGCCTGACTCGCGTGAAAGAAAGGAAGAGAAGAAGATGGAAGCTGCAGAGCCATCCGCGCCATCAACGCCAAAGCCACGTGGTGCATCATCTGGCCGAGTCAGCTTGCCAAGATTGGTGCGTGATCCCACCTACGCACCGGATCCTGGACAGAAGCCCAAAGAACGCTCCATTCCGGAACTCTTCGGACAGCCTCTCTTCAAGAAGCAGAGGAAACAACTTCATGGAGAAGATGACGACCTGATGGCAGACAACATGCATGCCGAGGCCTTTGACCTTGAGGTTCCCGAGGACTATGCTTGCGCCTTCCTCATCGACTTGCCCAAGAAGGCCTCAGAGTGGAAGAAGCTCAGAAGAAATTCCGAGAGCTACTTTCTCAAAAAGGTCAAAGGTGCCGAAATCCAATGGCACAAACTTGATCCAGGAGAAAAGAAGAAGTTCACAGAAGCTAAACACCTTGAAGTACAACAGTGGCTCACTGCCGCTGCTGTCAAGCGGGTGACCGGTGACTACCCCAAAGATCGCCTAGTCAGGATGCGTTGCGTCCTGACATACAAGGAGAGCGGCGCTGCAAAGGGACGAATAGTCCTCATTGGGTTCGAGGACCCAGACCTTGGATCCATCCAATCATCGGCTCCCACAATGTCAAAGAGGACAAGACAATTGGCCCTTCAGTTCTCCAGCATCAAACGATGGAGGATCCTGAAAGGAGACGTGAAGAGCGCCTTCCTTCAGGGTGACCCTGATGAAGCTGACCGAGCTCTATATGCTCGTCCAGTGCCAGAACTGGCATCAGCCCTTGAGATGAAGGAGGGCGAAGTGGTGCAAGTTTTGAAGTCATGCTATGGCCTAGTGAATGCTCCGGCCAACTGGTACCTTTGTGTTCGACGAACTCTGGCGGACCTGAACTTCACCCAGAGCCGCAGTGACCCATGTCTTTGGTTCTACTACATGAACACCAACGACCCTGAGAAACCCAAGGACCTTGCGGGCTATATCTGCTCGCACGTGGACGACTTCATCGTCAGCAGCAATGAGGAATGCGAAGAATGGGTAGAGGCCTTACAGGCCTTTCATGGAAAGTTCCGATGGTCACCATGGGAGTGCCAGAACTTCATCCATTGTGGCATCCGCATCCGAGAGGAACCAGATTTCAGCTTCACTCTTGATCACTCGGCCTACAGCGAGTCCATTGAGCAGATCAACTACACCACCAAGAACGAGCATGATCCCTTGACGCCTGATGAAATGTCCCAACTGCGTGGCGCTCTAGGAGCATTGCAGTGGAGGGCACAACAAACAGGCCCTTATCTGATGGCAAGACTTGGACAACTTCAGAGTTCCATCACCAAGGCCAACATCGATACCATCAAGGCCACGAACAAGCTCATCAGAGAGAACTTCCAACACCGCTACTTGTCAGCCCGGATTAACCAGATTCATGTGGAAGACCCTCGTGATGTTCAATTTGTGGCATGGAGCGACGCGGCTCTCGCCAACCGCATCGACCTCAGCTCGACTGGTGGATTCCTGATAGCAGCGACTTCTGAGAAGATGCTCCGTGGGGATCGAGCTCCACTGACCTTGGTTGCTTGGCGCTCCAGCCGCTTGGCAAGAAAAGCTCGAAGCTCATTGGCCGCTGAAACGCAAGCCATGAGCGAGGCTGACCAAGAACTCCTTTTTGTCCCTTTAGCCTGGGCTGAATTTTGCGGGTTTGAAGTTGAATTGAGGCACAGTGAGAAGACAATCTCACGAGTGCCGGGTATGGTGGTCACCGACGCAAAGGCACTCTATGACATTTTGTTGAAGAGTGACCTAAATTCGGCTGCTGCGGGGTTGCGCGATAAGTACTCCGCGCTGGAAGTGCTTTGCCTTTTGGAATCCCTGGCAAAGCTAGGAACCAAGGCGAGGTGGGTACACAGTGATGCCCAACTTGCCGACCACATGACGAAACCCCTGCCAGTCGGCACACTCCACCGGGTCCTGGCGCTTGGACTCTAGTGTTCGATCCAACGTTCACTAGCGCCAAGAAGGTGAAAGCGGCCATGAAGCAACGTTCCAGTCAAGACTTTAGGGGCGTGTCCATTTCTGAGCTTGAGTCACCTCAGCCGTTGAACCTTCTTTGACCTCCACTGTTGCTTCACGGCCCGAACCTTAGGGGACCCTTTTGCCTTCGTCTTTGACCAAGCCATGACGGCTTGAACCGCTACGGTGCGTTGAAACTTTGCGGTGCTCGCGTTGCATTGCTTGTCGGATCAAGGTGATCCTTACATTGTGTTGCTACAGGTTGCATACATTGTTGGCTCTTGAGGTTGCCACTACAGGTTCCAGGACTAGCCACTTTCTACTTGAGGCTACCCTGCTACCGACACTGGTAGCGGAGCTTCGGTCTTCGGACTGAAGCTCTGTTGCCGAGGACGCGCTTGCAGAGCAACGTTGAATTCTTCTTGAGTTGCCAAAGCAATTAGGTTGGAGGCCATCGCTAGTAGTAGGTTGGAGGCCAAAGCAATTAGGTTGGGGGCCATCGCTAGTAGTAGGTTGGAGGCCAAAGCAATTAGGTTGGAGGCCATCGCTAGTAGGTTGGAGGCCATCGCTAGTAGGTTGGAGGCCAAAGCAATTAGGCTGGAGGCCATCGCTAGTAGGTTGGAGGCCAAAGCAATTAGGCTGGAGGCCATCGCTAGTAGTAGGTTGGAGGCCAAAGCAATTAGGTTGGAGGCCATCGCTAGTAGTAGGTTGGAGGTCAGAGCAATTAGGTTGGAGGCCATCACCAGTACAGGTTGGAGGCCAAAGCAATTAGGTTGGAGGCCATCGCTAATAGTAGGTTGGCGGCCAAAGCAATTAGGTTGGAGGCCATCGCTAGTAGTAGGTTGGCGGCCAAAGCAATTAGGTTGGAGGCCATCGCTAGTAGTAGGTTGGAAGCCAAAGCAAGTAGGTTGGAGGCCATCGCTAGTAGTAGGTTGGAGGCCAAAGCAATTAGTTTGGAGGCCATCGCTAGTAGTAGTTGGGAGGCCAAAGCAATTAGGTTTGAGGCCATCGCTAATAGTAGGTTGGTGGCCAAAGCAATTAGGTTGGAGGCCATCGCTAGTAGTAGGTTGGAGGCCAAAGCAATTAGGTTGGTGGCCATCGCTAGTAGTAGGTTGGAGGCCAAAGCAATTAAGTTGGAGGCCTTCGCTACTAGGTTGGAGGCCAAAGCAATTAGGCTGGAGGCCATCGCTAGTAGGT